TAGCTTGAGTCTGCATTTTTTTCCCCCATGCATGTGAAATTAGCGGCACTGTACTGTTTACGTGTAAACTTTTTTTTTTGTAGGTTTATAATCCCCATATTCTAATTAACCCTTGTTAAATTAATAGCTTGTGAGGTCTCCTTCCCCAATGTATTAACACAAAAGTCCTCTTTATTCTATACTAGATGGAAGATTCCTCAAAAGAGCTGGGTTACTACATAATTAGACCATACCTTGTCATCCATCAAATTAATTGTTAGTCAGATTGAATGAAATGTTCTACTCTTTCCTTCTGCATTAATTGTTTTTTTTTATGCCTAAAAAATATATTGCTTATTTATTTTTCCATATAGTAGGGAGTATGTGTTCTGTGCCATTAAGAAAGTAAACATAATCTTTTATTTATGTATGAAGAGATTGTGTGGCTCGGCAATAACTAATGTTTTTTTCATCAGCAACAGTAGCCAAGAGTTTTAGTGTGCGGTAGAGGAGTATATAAAAAAAAATAGAAAGTTCACCCGGGAGGTGGGTAGGAGTCTTTGGCTGCTATGCTGTTTGATAGAGCATTCATGTTGCTCCTCTGGGGATCTCGCTAAATTCTGTACTGTAATTCCCAAACATAAAATATTGTACCAACACAAGTGAGCCATAGAACACTCTGTAATAATGCCCAGGACATTTCAGCTGAAAGACTAATAATCGTGTTATATAGTTTTCACAGTAGCCAATGCTGTTCACTTGTTGGCAGCATGTTGAAAGAAGAAATTAAATGCTGTGGCTCTCATGTGAAGATCAGGAATGTGGTCCCTGAGTGGTCTGAGATGTGGAGAATGCTGTAATATGACATGGGCCACATGCAATGCAAAAATTATATACATATACACAAAGCCAATTGTTCTATATCATTTTTGGACACAAATACGGAGCTCGAAACAAAAAAAGCACTAAAAATGATTCTAACATCTGATTATATGTTTAGCAGACAGTACATTGGGGCATAATATGGTTTATAAATATATCATAATGTATGTGAATTATACTGAACTGCTTTACTGACAAGAAATGATCATATTTAATACTCTTTAAATTATTTGTCCCTTGGTGAAAAGTATATAAAATTGTAAAAGTCAATTGTAGCGTAAAAATAAAGAAAGTGCATATCCAAAACATCAGAAAGTCCTCTCTAAATTGGATTCATTTATATACACCAGAGGTTGCTTTTAGGATCTCCAAAGAACTTAATATATGTAGAAGGATAATTATATAAACATATATGGGGTGAGTGGTAACATTCATTAAATGTAAAGTGTCTGGACATGTACTTTCTTCATGGTTCGGTTTCAGCTCTATAAAACTGACCCAGAGAAGAAGGAAGTACACTAATCATTTATATATATATGTCTATTTTTATTGTATTATGCGTTCACGAGTCTGAAGACATCTTTACCAAAATAAGTACATTTTTGTTTATAGATAACTGCATTCCTAATTTTAGGATTGTTTTGTTTGATTGTTGGTTGGTTGTTTGATTGTTGAACGTTTATATTGCAGGGTCATACTGACTAAAGGGACATACTGCTGCATTCATGAGTTAACCCCTTAAGGACACAACTTCTTGAATAAAAGGGAATCATGACGGAATATTTCCGTCATGTGTCATTAAGGGGTTAAACACATGACTGCAGCGCACCGTATGTAAGCTCATACAGCTGTCAAATGTTCTGTTTTTTCAAGTGCATTTCTTTATCTGAGCAAGCAGGTATAAAAATGATATGCAAATATCAATCATTAAATTTAAAGGTACACTGTAGTCACATCAACCATGTTCCATGTCATGGAACTGGTTATCGTGTCTGGAGTCCCCTGGTGCTGTCCCTCCATCCAGTGTTAATGCAATCTCCAACAGTTTAATTGTAAATAAGGATCACTTGCCTCCCACAGCTTGGCTCTTACTGGAGGTGTGGCTAAAGCAGAGATTATTATTATTGTTATTGGTATTTATATAGTGCCAGCTTATTCCGCAGCGCCTTACAATAAGAGAGGAATTTACCAAATGAGACAATAACAAAATGTAACAGGAACAATAGGTAGTTGAGGACCCTGCTCAAACAAGCTTACAGTCTAGAGGAGGTGGGTATAAAAACACAATAGGAAGGGTATTGAGAGAGACAGCAAATAGACATGGTGGGAAAGTAGCAGAACTGGAGGTAAGAGTGGAGAGTGGCCCTTTAGGAGAGAGCAAGAGGAAGGATTGAGAGATAGAAGTTACTTTTGGAGACCATAAGCAATCCTGTAAAGATGAGTTTTGAGGGACTTCTTAAATGATTGATTTAATGACTAGGGGAGAGTCTGACAGGGATAATCAGCCTATTCTAAAGGAAAGGAGTCGCCGGTGAGAAGTCTTGCAGGCGTGAATCTGCACTAAGGGTGCAAGCAGTAGACAGGAGAAGCTCACCAGTAGAGTGGAGAGACTGAGAGGGTGCATGCCTATGAATCGGTGAAGAAATGTAAGAGGGGCTAGAGTTGGTTAGAGCTTTATAGGTAAGGGTTAGTGTTTTAAATTGACACCTGTAGGGTACAGGAAGCCAGTGTAAGGATCGACAGAGGGGTGAGGTGTGAGAGGAGCAACAGGAGAGAAAGATCAGCCTGGCAGCAGTATTCATCTCAGATTATAGGGGTGCAGTACGGCCTTTGGGGAGACCAATTAGGAGAGAATTACAGTAATCCATGCAAGAGATTACTAGAGCATTAACAAGCTCCTTGCGTAAGAAAGGGGCATATGCGGGCAATGTTTTTAAGCTTGAATCGACAGGTTTTAGCAACAGACTGGACATGAGGCGCAAAGGTGAGGCCAGGATCAAAAATGACACCAAGACAGCATGCTTGAAAGGATGGGGTGAGGCAAGTACCATCAACCTGCAGGGAGAGTGAAGGAAGAGGATCAGTGTTATGAGGAGGAAAAATAAGAAACTCATCCAATCAGAGATAGAAAAAAGGCAATTGGTGACGCGTAAGAGGTAGGAGGTCAGGGGAGGAGAGGTATATCTGGGTGTTGTCAGCGTACAGGTGGTAGTGGAATCCAAATGCATTAATGAGTTTGTTAAGAGAGGCAGTATAGAGAGAGAACAAAATGGGACCAAGAACTAAACATGAGACAGGACAAAGAGAGGAGTTGTCCCTGGAAAAAGAGACACTGAAGGAGCGTTGGGAGAGATTGGAGGAGAACCATGAGAGGGCTGTGTCACAGAGACCAAGAGATTGAAGAGTTAGGAGGAGGAGGCCATGATCAACAGTGTCAAAGGCAGCAGAGAGGTCAAGAAGAATTAGTATGGTGTAGTTATACCTATTCATACCAACAATGGGCACTCTTATAGGCTAAAAGCAGTCAGCTGACACTCCCAGCCAATCACAGCTGCCAATTGCTACTCAGGCTATTACTTCCTTATTGGTTCAAATAATACAGAGGTGATGGTCTGCTACTTTCAATTAGAGTTAAAACATAAAAACATTAGAAACTGTTTAACGCTGAATAAACAGATTGCACCAGAGGACTCTATTACCAATTTCAATGAAGCAGATATAGTACCTACAGTGTCCCTTTAATTCAAGGTTGATGCACATCATGTATTGCTAGATTTGAAATTAATCAAGTTCAGACAGTACAGGTGCTTTGTACAAAATGCCTTATTTTGGGCACCATTTTCTTCAGAGGCCAGAGGAAAGCAATGTTTGTTCTTTTAAATCCACTAACTTTATTTTTAAGGGTAAAACTCACGTGGAATAAAAACAAGCTGTGGAAGGAAACTGTTTTATAGAAATGCATTGAGAGCTGATGTGTAGATTATAATGATTGTCCAGGTGTTCATGATGGCTAACAAGTATGTTATCAGCAAATGTCAGTATGTAGGCCTGTTTTGCTGGGTTATGAAATACAAAATCTGTGTGCTGTGCACTCACATGAAATAAATAAATACAAGCTGGAGAAGGGATACTTTTCATAAAAATGCATTGAGAACTGATGTGTTGAGTAAAAGAATTGTCCAGGTGTTCAAGATGGTCAACAATTCCGTTATCAGCATGTGTCAGAATGAGGGTCTGCTTTACTGGGTTATAAAACAGATCTGAAAACCACATGTTTCATAATGCTCTAAATAGGTTGATTGAACAACACACACATTTTATACTTGAGCTTAAAGTCAACATAGTACGCGTTAAATGTTTTTTTATTATTTCTTTTTATTTATCCGGTTTTATATATTTTGTTTTTAGTTTAGTGGCTGGAGCATGTTTGCAATACTGGTGTCTTAATCGTTCAGTGTTTAATTCTGTATTTTAACTGTGTGGGTTTTCTGAGAAATGTATTTTACTATTTTTACATGGTTATCACTAGAGGCAGAACTAATGTAGAGAGTGCCATGGTGGGAAAAAAAATATTTTGCAACCCCACCGTAGAGTATTTAATTTCTTCTTTCAAAATGCTGCCAGCAAGTGAACAGCATTGGCTACTGTGAAAACAATAAAACACTATCATTAGATACACACTGTCACACATCCAATGTTTGACACTCATGTAGAGATCCACACAATGACACACATGCACAGATGCACACTAACACACACAGATCCTTAAACACTAGCACACATGCATATATACACACATGCAGATCTACATACATACATGCACACATATCCTCAAACAAACACATGCAAAGATCTACACATGCACAGATCCAGGCCCCAGTGAGTCTGGCTCCAAATGAGCATCTCTGCAACCCTGTCTTCCTAAATTTTGTAGTAGGAACTACCAGTTGTGCTAGCATGGCCAGGATGGACTGCATAGTATCTGTAACCATTTCTGGCACCCTCTGGGGTCCTGGTGCGGTCACACGCACCGTCAGTAGTTCTTCTCCTGGTGATCTCCATGTCTATCACTTACTGACTTTTATTTTTAGATTCCTGCAGTGAGTAGGGTAAGACCATGGTAACTTCTTTCATCATCATTCAGACTGCCTTTGCCTATTATTTGTCAGAGATGGAATGGGTTTATAAAATTTAGTGGGTATCAGGGCTAGCACTACCACAAGGTGGCACAGTCTTGGGGTATTCACTTCTTTCTCTTTGCCTCTATACCCTAACCTCTTACTATACCTGTACACAAGCAATATACACTAGCGTTATAATAGTGGTATATTTGCCTGGTGTCCAATTGTCGCGCTACTGTAGTGGATTGGCTTAGCCCTCTCAGTTAGCTACCTTTCCAGCATTGTGCTGGATACTTATAGGCATTTGTGTATACATGTATACACGCAAGTTTTATATATATATATATATATATATATATATATATATATCTAGTTGTCTCTCACCCTTTCCTGTTTTAGATTTAGATTATTTTTATACTATTGTATTTTCCCTAGGATTATTAAAGGTAGGGCTTCCCTCTCCTTTTCCCCCACATTTTTTATGTTAACTCTCCCACTAGGACATTCTAGTCCATTTCTATTTACTTTGTACATCGTGGGTTATTCCCCGGATCTAGGCAGAGTAACAGTGGGCATTCTATGGCACTGCTGCACTAGCCCCTCTTTGTACTGGGACTTCTGGACCAGAGCCTGTTTTCTTTCTTCATTTTTTGTAATATAAATAAATATATCATATATAAATATATGCATGTAATTATATAAATATAATTTACTGATGCTCCTTTTTTTTCCAAACTGTTTGTTAATTCTTCACACTTGATCTTTGAACCACAAATCAGTGTACAGCAAAATGTATGTAATATTAGTATTTTTATGCCATTTTGGTTCGTCTTAATTGTGTTTGTCTTAATTGTGTTTCCCGAAATACTCACATGAAATGAATCAAAATTAAACAGCAACGCAGATCAAACCCGATTTGCATGAAACAAAAAGTGATATAAACTTGGGGTGTCTGCAGATTTTTGTTCATACCAGTAGTAGTAGTGAGCTGACTTGTCACTCTCCCCCTACTCACTTCCTTGCCGTCCAATTTGCTTTTTGTGGTTCACTCTTCTAGAAGACTGTAAAAGTAATCCAAACTTTGCCTTAGCACGCTATGTTAGCCTCAGCCCTTGAACTTGTGGCTGATGAAGATATGGGTGGATATGCATCTTTAAAAGCTGCCGCAATACATGCTTTTATACTAGCACTTTATTGTCTAATGCTGATGAGAAGTGAGATGGTTGTTACTGGAAAAGCTATCTGACACTGTAAGGAGATGCTCCAGCAGAATGAGGTGATTCTACTGCAGATAGAAATAGACTTAGATAAAATAGTGAATGCACAATAGGTGCAGAAAATAATGGATTGCTGCCTCTCCTCTACAGATGCTTCTCTTCTAATTCCTCGGCATCATAGTTGATTTCCTCCTGGGATAGACTTAAAAAAAAAAACAATCATTACTGTTTGTTTTCTCTTTCTGTGATTTGTATCATTTTGTTATTTGTTATTGTATTTATTTTATTATTTTCATTCATCTGTTGCTACGCTTTGGAGGTCCCTAAGGAAGTACTATTTGGGACAAAATATGTAGGATCACTCCTAGCAACTTATATGTGTTTTTATATTTTATTATATCTTGAGTGTTTTTATACACTAATTTTAATAATAAATAGCAGGTTTTTGCATTGTGAATATCTGAGTCCAGCTCATTATACTTCCAGCGCTACTGGGAAAGGAGCAAAGCGTTTTGGATTAGCCCCCCACTTTATCAAGGGAGGCACCCTGAGGTGAATTACCACTCTTCATCTTGTGAGTGCCACTTTATTTTGCGCTACTATTTAAGTCATACAGTGTTACACTATTTTGTTCTTTTGGTTTTCGTATTTCAGTTGTAGATCTGCAGCTGTATTCTCCATTGTGTTCATTTCTTTCAGACTTAAAAAAAAAGTCTGGAGCGGGGAAGGACTGGTATAATCATCACTAGATTCCTCATCACCACCACCAAGACCAGACATTGGGGTACTCTCTGCTCTACCTCTTCAGAAAAGAGTGGCACTGATAGCATCAACACAATTTCTGCTGGTCTTAGTTGCATCTTGGGTGGATGGGGTTTCAGAAGGATATTGATACCTTAGAGAGAGTTCAGAGAAGGGCTACTAAACTGGTTCATGGATTGCAGGATAAAACTTACCAGGAAAGGTTAAAGGATCTTAACATGTATAGCTTGGAGGAAAGACGAGACAGGGGGGATATGATAGAAACATTTAAATATATAAAGGGAATCAACACAGTAAAGGAGGAGACTATATTTAAAAGAAGAAAAACTACCACAACAAGAGGACATAGTCTTAAATTAGAGGGACAAAGGTTTAAAAATAATATCAGGAAGTATTACTTTACTGAGAGGGTAGTGGATGCATGGAATAGCCTTCCAGCTGAAGTGGTAGAGGTTAACACAGTAAAGGAGTTTAAGCATGCGTGGGATAGGCATAAGGCTATCCTAACTATAAGATAAGGCCAGGGACTAATGAAAGTATTTAGAAAATTGTGCAGACTAGATGGGCCGAATGGTTCTATGTTTCTATGTTTTCTATGTTTCTAATAAATAAGGGGTAACACAGGCAATAATGAGTCCACTAGTTGCGCCGATTCCGTGATCCAAGCACCTTAAATACAGAAGCTATAGAAAAAATTGGCAACAGAAGTTATTGCAGTATGAAAAGAGAAACATTCAATTGCCTCCCGTATGGGGAATTAGACTAAAAGGACATTTTGCTGATTATAATCTCTGCTGGTCTGTCTCTCTCAATAGCTGAAGTAAAAGTATCAAGAAGAATCCTGCTTGGAAGTATAGTTTTTTTTATTGCTTCTCCCTTTTCCCCCTCTCTTTTTGTCACTTTACTTGATCTGTGCATATAATCAAAATTTAGTGGCTGTGCCCTAACCATCAAACTTTTTTTGCTACCTCTTGATTGGGCAGGAGATCCAGTCCACATGATTGGGCAGACCTTTTGCTTATTGGTGGTTATTTGTCCTCACTAAAAATATCCTCTTCTCCTTTCAATCCCCCCTCCTTACTGGTGCCAGGAACTGCACTCCGAATCAAGATCCAAACTGAACATGCTCAGGCTTGTGCGAATCAGTTCCCTTGAGATTCTTGCACTTGGCAGCTCAGAAATCAGAATTTCATTCAATCACCCAATCGGCCAGAATATAGATCAAATGCAGTTCGGCTTAAACAAATCTCCAAGTCTAGTAGTCACTAATTACCAGTTACTATATGTCGACATTTTAACATGGAAACAGTCAATAATTACTGATGATAGAAGCAGCCATTACAGACTTATTGCTAGATAATAGCAACAGGCATTGAAGCGAGCATATAGTCTTCTTCAACTAATAACCAGTACTAGTGGACCTCTGACCACCAATAGATCTTTAATTTTACATTCCTTGTCTAGAAACATTGAACGTACTGCCTTTTAGAGATTATTTTATGGGCATAGCCTGCCTAAAAAACCCTTCGATCATTGTCTTACATCATTCATTTAAATTATTTTTTTTTTTTACTTTCAGACTGTTTTTATGAATTATGTACTTTTATTCCGATTAGACAGTGGTACAACATGGATATAGAGGAAAGGTCGATACTGACATTTATAATCACCTCTCTTTATTTACATTCCGCGGCCCTTGACAACTGCAGCTTCCTTGCTATATCCCTGGCAGCTACTCTTTCGTAGGCAGGTAGCAGAAACATGCTAAGTAAGATAAATGTACCCATCCCTACATCTTAAAAGTCACTGAGGAATTCTGCACATTTTTTTTAACACACACCATAGCAAGGATGAAAGCAAATTGCCTACATGGCATTATGACCTTGAGCAGAGTTTTACATGTCGAAAGACTGCATGTTAAGCAAAAGTCTCCTTAACTGATCTTTAATACAGTGTTTAGCAAATTCTCAAAGAATTGAATATCCGACATGTCATTTTCATTTCTGTCACATTAAAACACTTGCTTTGAAGGAAAGAGGCATCTGTCTTTAGTTTGTTTTTTTTAAAGTTTTTTTTCCAAGCTTTCCTTACTGAATATAGTTAGCATGCTCAAATCCTGTATTAGTGATTCACCCTATAACCGGCACTGCAGGAAATTGAACTGCAAAAAAGCTAAAGTATTTGCAAAAAGGAAGCAATGTTTGGAAACCCCGGGTCTGTAAAAGAGATCACGGAAAACCTTATGAATAAAGTATTGATTCTTTTCCTTACCTTTTGTAAAAGGGTTAGTAATTCATGCATAAGGAAAGAAAAAAAGAAAAAGTCTTAAAAACTATTCTCAGGGGACGTCAGAAAATTCAGTTTTATCAAACCGGCAAAATAACCGCTGTACAAGAAAAATCAGATTTATGGATGGGAACAGTTAACAATGCAGTTGTATTACAACAAAATCACTCTAAAATAATAGCCCTGAGTATTCCGCTTATATAACAGGAATTATAATCCATATTATTACAGAGATCAGCCAAGCCAGTTACATTTCTTTGTATTGAATTATCTGGCTCTGTGCTGACATAAGTAGACGATTATTGTGTTTCTCCGATTCTATATTTGCCACACAACTTGGCCTTTTCATGCTTTAAATAATTTACAAAGAGGACATGAGGTAGCAATTTAAACTAGTTCTTTTAAGGCAACTTGAATTTATTTCTCTGTCAGTTCCAGTTTTACAGAATTTTCTTTTTTCCAGTTCATGCTTCATGGAAAAGGAAAATGACAGGGTCTCTTCTAGATTACATTAATGCCAGAGACAAATAGGACAATTAGAGTTTTCTTTAATAGCACTTTTTTTTACATTATATTATATTTACATTAAGGTTTCCATTAGTTATTTTTGCACATAGTAATGTATTGATGTATTAATGTAACTAAATAAATTATAAAAATTAACATTAATGTGTTGGTTAATGTAGGTGCCCATGACGGAGTAGTTTGGGTCCTTTTTCCTTGCTCAAAAGTTTTTCACATGTAGGACAGAATGTGTGTTTTATGCTGCTCTAGACCCAGCTAAATTGATACCTCCCAGTTAACTACACTGTCTATATTACTTACACATGCTAGATCCAGAGCTGGCACTTCCTATAGGCCAATTAGACGGTCGCCTAGGGTGCCTCTTAAGGAGTGGTGCTGGTAGTGACTTTACTGTTCCTTTAGCCGCCCCTCTATGTGGGACTAATTGTCTAGCGCATCTCGCT